TAACGCTGTCAATTAAAAAGAAAAAGCAAGTATTTATGTGTATGTATATTTATATGTAAACGTATTAAAATTAAAAAAAATCTCCATGTCTACAACACCGCGCCTGTTCATAAAAAATTATTTTACACATATTTTTAGTTTAGATAAGGTTGGCTTAAATGGAATGTTATAGTTAAAGAGTTCACTCTGTGTTCGCACAGGCCCATTGTGATGCCCAAGAGAGGAGGCTCGCAGACCTATCCCTTCATGTCTTTAAACCTGATTCTGATTTTCTCGCGAACCCTCGAATTGTCCCTCCTATGGATCTATGTATGTTTTTCACCTCTATATCTTCTACAGAATGGTTTAGTGTCTCGTTATTATTCCCGGTTGAGAAGCCGACGTTAGATTTGAGCGTCTTCGCAAACTCAATGTCTGCTCTCCAGTCGAGCAGGTGCGTGGAGTCGGATCGTCACGAAGCAGAGCGTTGTTGGGGTGGCTTCCACAGTTACATTTCAGGAAGAACTGCTTCGGTAATAGGATGTCCGGCTTTCTTCGTGGATGGCATCCTGAAGCCGCACGTAGAGCTGAGGTCAGGCAGGATTACAATATTCTACACAGTGTTTCGTTCGTTCTTGTCAACCACACACAGTGCTGCATACTTTGATATCGATCGGCCGATTTCTCTGTATATTGTGACCAGGGTCTATTTATATGCTCCCGAGATGCTGTCGGTTAGTGATTTGATGACTTTTTTGGATAGGTTGACTGTTGGTTTTTTGGCGCCATCGACGTATAGATCGACCTCTAGGCTCATTTCCTTGATCCATGGGACAAAAAAGTGTGGCAGTGGATTTCGCGGCAGAAATCTCGAGTGAAGAAGTTGGAAAGGTCGCAAATCCCAAGATGGTTGGTTGTAAGTTTAACGGAATGACATTTTTTTTCTTTATGAAAACCATCGTTTTGTGTTTAGCTGTTATTGATTTGAAGTATGTAATAAGTTTTCCTTGATTAAAATTTTTGGACTATATTGGCATCATAATAATTCAGCAAGGATTTCAACTAAAATCTTGCAAAGAATCAAAACACCGTTGTTCGACTATACCCCTTTTTTTATGTGTTATGCCTTTTTATTTTCTTTTTTTGTAACAAAAAGTTTTTTTTAACAAATTTATTCTCCTCAAATTAATGTGTTTACCCGACACTCTTTTAAGATCGCGACAGAGAGAGCACGAAAAGAATTTGAGGAAAAAATAGCATATGTTAACAAAAATAATTTACCGCCTATTAAATTTTTTCTGTTTTCAACAACTGAATATAATTTTCTTTTAAAATAAAAAGCTTTGAAGATGTACATATCGATAGTCCTGTGCAATAACGACACAATTCAAAACCCAAAAAAAATAAAAACTGTTACTACTGTTAAGTGGCTCATGTCTCTAATCCTTGTCGAATCCATGTCTAATCTTTTGTGCTTACTTTAGCAATCCTTTCTGCTTACTTTAGTAAGGCATGCAAATGGATTAGAGACGTGAGACACTTAATAGTAGTAACAGTTTTGGTTTTTTGAATTTTGAATTGTGTCGCTATTGCACTGGACCATCGATATGTATGTTATTTTTCTCTGCCCACAGATATGCTAATAAATTTTTGTCTCCAAATATGACAGTGAAAACCAACCAGCCTTACGTATATAATTCAATCACCTGCATATGCATGTGTATTTATAAAATGTCTCAAATTTCAGATGAAGGCAACGTTAACTAGCTGAGAATATTATTTTTAAATTTTACATTTTAATTTTTTAAATTAAAAAAAAATATTGGTAAAAATACTGGTAATTAAAATTGCGGATATTTTTAAATTTTAGTAAACATTGGTGAGGCGACACCTATTATTTTTTTTTGTAAGTTGAGCGCATGTCGGTGCGCCATCTACTTTATTTATTTCGCTAAACTACTCCACCATCACACCACCTACCGTCCAGGCACGCGAACATAAAATTCCGGTTCCTCTCCAAACTGGCTGCAGTAAAAATCGTGAAGTACACTGAGACGCGAATATAGTCGATGTTCCGGCCGAAGTTCAAGACTCGACATACAGATGACGCCTTTCGCACTTGCAGACATTATACCGATTTCCTATAAATGAGAAGCAGATGTTGCTGCTGCAGTTGTTGAATTTTTTCTACCGGTTTCGGTTTGTCGCCACTACCGCTTTTTGGACCCTAACCGCTTCGCGCTAGGCATTTTTTGGTCCCAAAATAAAGAAAGCTGCCGTAAGAGAAATGCCAAAATAACGAAAATGTGTGGAATGGCAAGAATTGGTTAATAACAAATTAAGACAAACCTATAAACAGAAAGATACGAATTCAATCGGTGAATATGGTAAAGCACACAAAATGCACTATGAAATAATAATATTCCTATTAGATCTGCCAGAGACTGACGACTAGCAATTGGGGAGCAACTTCTGCTTTGCATGTGGAGAAGTTCGAACTTGCAAATG